ACTCATGCATTCATTCATTCTTCCACTGCTGTATTTCCAGAATGTTGCACCGAGCCTGGTACATAATAGGTACTCAGTAGATATATGATAGAAGAGCAAATTTATTCCATAAATTCAACACACATTTATTGAGTGCCTACTGCTTGTAGCCCTGTGCTAAGAACTGGTGTACAGATGGTGCCCACACAGCAACTGGTCCTGAAGCCCACTCCCAAGATCACCAGGGGCTCTAAATCCTCTCAATTCTTCCCACCTCCTACCCAGCTTCCACTGTTTACCAGACTCCAGGCAAGAAGGCTTTTCCCGGAATTGTGGTCATGCCCAAGCACCCCATGCATCATGGGGCCGGGGAAGGCTGCACCCCCACAGGCACGACTCTCCGAATCCTCCCTGTCTTTCACGTCCTCCTCCAACCACTTTCCCCCTCCCTCTCAAAGTCTTAGGCGCTGCCATCACCCCCCTCCCAGTGCCCTACATCTACCCGGGGTTATACCTGGAGAGGCCAGCAGGTGGCGCCCGGACTCCCCCTTCCCCCGCGCTAGGCAGGACTCCAGACCCCACCAGGACCCTCACCCTTCTCTCTTTCTCCCTAGCGGGGACAGGAGTGGACTCTGTGACCTCTAACTGACCCCTCTCCTTCCTGCTGGCTCCTGTGATGAGGCCTAAGGAGACTCCAGCTGCTCCTGCAGGCCCCCGGTTGTCTTATCCTGCCTGCTGGTGTTGGGGGGGTCCCTAAGGGCCAAGCTGCAGCTGGTGGGGCGGGGCCGGGCGGGGTGGGGCGCAAGGCAGCCGCCGAGTGAAGAGAGAGAGAGAAGAGAGAGGAGAGAGAGGTGCTTTGGTTCCTTGGCTCCTGCCCCAAACAGGTGGAGGTCCCAAATGAGCCTCACCCCAGCACAAGGTATGTGGCTGGGGAAGCCAATGGGGCTGGGGGCTTCAGCCTGCCAAGCAGAGCAGTCCTGGCGGTACCGAAGGGCTGGCCGGTTGGGGTCCGCCCTCAGTAAGAACCCTCGAGCCCCCTCGCATCCTACCCTTTCCAAGGTGACCCATAGAAACTTGGGGGTCAGTGCAAGAAGTCCTGGGGCGGGCTTTGGGAGAGAAGAGCCCCACTGCTGCTCCTGATGCACTGTGAATTTCGGGGAGCTCTTTCCATCTCTGGACCTGTTTCTCAATCTAAAATGGTGGGCGAGGGAGATTTTGAAGACATTCTATGGGATAACTTTGCAAAGTGTCCCTTTTCCAAAAGGATTAACCCTTCCTGAAGCCTCTGGAAGACCAAAAGGCCTTTAAGACCCAAAGGAGGGGCGCCTGGGTGGCTCGGTCGTTAAGCGTCTGCCTTCCGCTCAGGTCATGGTCGGGCTCCTGGGATAGAGCCCCGCATCAGGCTTCCTGCTGGGAGTGGGGGGGAGGCCTGCTTCTCCCTCTCCCACTCCCCCTGCTGTGTTCCCTCTCTCGCTGTCTCTCTCTCTGTCAAATAAATAAATAAAATCTTTAGGGGAAAAAAAAAAGACCCAAAGGAATGCCCCTTAACGGTGGAATTTCAGATGGGGGGGCTCATCTGGAGATGTGGGGGCCTCTCCGTGTGGAGGGCCCTGGGGCCCTGGTCCATGCCTCCCTCCTCAACCTTGTTTCTCTGACTGGGACTCAGGGTGGAGAGTGCCACAAGGTGGGGGCCTTCCCTCTCAGTGGGCTTTTGGCAGAGGTCTCTGCATTAGGGAGAGGGTGGTCAGTGCAGGGCAAGGGCAGCTCTCTGCCTCTTCAAGAACAGACAAGGGGTGGATTGGGCAGAAGAGTGTGTGAGACCGAGGCAGGGACAGCAGCAGGCATAAGGGTGTCCCCAAGGTTGTGAGGAAGGAGCCATCCCCCCCCTTTATTAACTGGGGTTACTTGCCAAGTCTCCACAGCCCCCTGCACTCTAGAATCATTAGCTCATTCCCTGCTCACAGCACTCAGCGGGGCCAGAATGGTGGGGGCGGGGGCTGGAGCCACTCTTCCCTCACCCGCTCTTGGGAAGAGATTGTTCCAGATTGTTCTCTGGCTGGGGAGCATCTGGTACAGGCAAATTCTAGGATCTCAGGGATGGTAGGGTGCGTGAGTTCACTCTGGCTGGGGAGACAGTCGAGTCAAGCACATGCGTGGGAGTCAGATCAGCCTGTGTTCAAATCCTGGCTCTGCTATGGGTCCTTGGGCAAGTCAAGTGACCTCTCCGAGCTACAGTCTCCTGTGCAAAACGGGGGCCGCAGAGCGCCCCTTAAGGGGTTCAGTGAGAAGGGGCACGATGCAAGTCAAGCTCTTGGCACAGTGTCTGGCACCCAGTAGGTGCGGGTTGTTATTCTCATGGAGACAAAAATGAAGGCCCGAAGAAGGGGAAGGACTGGCCAGGCTCACAGAGCTATAGGTCTCCAGTGAGTCTGAGCACCCTCTTCCCGGCCGCGGTAAACACTGAGCACCTACTGTATACACCCCAGCACTTACTCGGTAGTCTAATCTACACCCCCCACCCCCCCACACACACGCTGTGACACTCCCCTCTGCTCACGTCTGTCCCGGCCCCGGCAAGGCCTCAGGTGTGGGGTGGGGTAGGGGGTAAGGACCCCCAGGCCGAGGGAGGGTGGTGGGGACCGGGGGACACCGATAAGTGTCTGGGGCGCGCGTCCGCCCTCTCCCTGGGGGAAGGGCAGGGCTGGGGCCGGCGCGGGGCCGGGTGCGGGGGGAGGGGGGACAGGGCCGGCGCGCGGGGGAGGTGGGGGGCTCCCGGCGGGGGGGCAGGCGGGGAGGGGGCGGGGGGGGGGGGGGTGCCCTCCGCCCTCACCCCGCCCCGCGCCTCTCCCCCCAGCGGGGGCGCCCCGCCCCCCGGGCGCCCGACGTGGAC